TAGGGAAAAAAGGGCACTTTAATGTTTAAACTTGTTAGAAGACCCATTATATTCAAGAGGGTTAGTTCCTAGTTTAAAGCTAATCACATATCTGAGTGATTTATCAAAATAGAGGAAAGTCCATCCTTCAGTTGACCTCAGGCGGGCTCAAATACTGTTTCCAGATCAGGAAATGCATGTATGTGTTAAACTTCAATACCGGAGCTGATAAGATGACATACAGAATGGCCACTGTTGAAAGGACAAGGGAAACATACACACATCACACACACACACACACTCTCACTTTCCAGAAACCCATAAAAGGAACCTATAAAAAAGGTGAAACCTTAAAGAAAAAATGCAGGAATGACATGACCCACCAAACATTGTTTTGTCTACAACAAATATCCAGCTTCAAAAAGTCCTGGAGGTTGGAGGTTCTGTCATTTGGAATCTGAATTCTGGAACTCTAAAACTCTATCCCATATTTAGACGATGAAGAAGAGGAGACTGGATTTATACCCTGGTCTTCACTACCCAAAGGAGTCTCAGAGCAGTTTACAATCTCCTTTCTCTGGCTCAAAAAACAACATGGTGATTAGTTGCGTGCTCAGAATAAACTCTAGTTTGAGCTGCTGATGCCAGGTTGCCTCCAGCTGACATGCTCAGTTGTCACCACAAAAGCACGCAGGCACAGAGGTCCTCCATGAAGCCATCAAGTGGACCGCCAACAGCCCCGAGACTTCAGACTCCTGCCCCCCAGTGAGCCACAAGACCCGAGGGCCACCGCCTGGCGAGCCTGATCCAATGGCTGCTATTCTCCTGGGCAGTTAGATTTGAGTCCAGTCGCACTTTGGAGACCAACAAGGGTTTCAGGGAGTGAGTTTCCGGGAGTCAAAGCTCCTTTTGTCAGACACGGGGCTTTGGCCCTCAAAAGCCGACACCCTGAAACCAGCACAAGACCCTGTGCTCTTCACTAAGGCAGTGGTGGCGAACCTATGGCACGGGTGCCAGAGGTGGCACTCAGAGCCCTCTCCGTGGGCACGCGTGCCATCGCCCCAGCCAGGCCCAGACCATCATTAAAATGTTGAATTCTCTACCAAATAATTTTAAGTAAATGAAAGCATTTGGGATTGCTTTCCTTACTTTGTTTGGATCATCTTAAGTTAATATATGAGTGGTTTTTTTCTAAAGTAAAACCTCAGTATTCAGGTTAAATTGCCGTGCTGGCACTCTGCAATAAATAAGTGCTTCCTTGGGTAGTTTCAGTGCTATTGTCTGATAACTTCCCTGACAATCAAACCTGTACAGTTGCTATGGCTTTTTTGCTAATGCAATAAATATGATGATGATGATGATGATGATGATGATGATGATGATGATGTGGGTTTTGGGTCGCAGTTTGGGTGCTGGGTCTCTAAAAGGTTCACCATCACTGCACTAAGGCATAAGAGACATTTCTTGTAGCTGTCAGTGTGGGGGATTTTGACCCACAGGGCCTGCATTTCTGAAGAGCACTTTTTGTGCCCTTGTCTGAGCACTAGGGTCTCTGGAGACAGAGGACTGAGGTAGAAATTGCTGGCAGTTAGTGCTGGTTGAAGACGAGCCAGAGCTTCTACTAGCAAACCTCTCGCAGCAGCAGCAGCTCTGCTGGAAAAGGCAGGAAACAGTGGGGGGGGGGGAGAAGGGGGGGCCCTCAGTTGTTTTGAGCTTCCAAAACCTGTCCGCCACAGGCCTGCACACGCGCAGTACCCATGTGAGACCGCACAGGTACCATGACGATGAATACTGTCTATTGTTCCTTAGTAGTTCATACTAGGGGATCATTCTTCCTCGATTTTATCTTGAAAAGCAATTCTCAAACAAGCATAAGACCTGTGAAACAAATAATGGACCTACAAATGCAATAGATCTATGACAAATCATAGCACATACTTAAAAGTAAATAGTATCCAATAAATATGAAACATTAATAAATATTAAACATCAAAATTTAATAAAATATACTTCAGTATTTAGAACATAAATGATAATTTCAGACATCCATTACTGCGGGACTGAAAACATTTAGAAATCACAGCGTTTTAAATACAAAAACATTTTAAAAGTGTGGACAAGGATAACAGCTTCTATATTCTAATTCTAGAGGTTTTTTGACATTGCTTTAAACACATACACCATACTAAAAGGAAACTACAAAAAGAATGCACCACAATGCTATATACTAGAAGTGGTGGTATTTGGGTATGAACAGGCTTCACACTTGAAGTGCCACTTAGTTCACTGTGAATGGGCTTAAATAAAAGCTTATATATTATGTAAGAGTCAAATGTGATTTTGCTGTTTTCATGGGGGGGGGGGACAGACAACAGGAGGGGAATGTGTTTTTTAGGGGGCCTTTTCCCTGAAAAATTGGGAAATGCTTTTTAAGACGTTTTGCTCATTCAAAATGTATGGCATTTGGCACCCCACAGGAGATACAAAGGCACTGCCGTATCTACAACCATGCCATGGACTCAGCTGAGTGGGGCGCTATGATCACCCTAGCTACGGCAGCCATCTTGGCTGGTTCCACAGGATACGGTTGCCAAGTTAGAATCAAGCCGCAGCGGGGGACTCCCGGCTTGCGGCTGGAGCATGTGTGCCGCTTCCATGCTACCTGGCGTGCCCGCGTCACTTCCGGGTGATGTGCACATTGGGGTGGGGTTCCCCCCCGGGGCCCGATTCGCGGGCGGTAGGGAATGGGCCTCTGGAGCGGGGGGTTCCCCACCCCCCGGGGGGACTTGGCAAGCCTACCACAGGAAGAGGGCTGCTTTCAGTCCTGATTTTTTCAGTCCTTTAGAATTTCAGTGCTTTAGAATTTCTACCCTCTTTTTTGATAGGCTCACGTAACTACATTTCTGTTCCAGTAAGGCAGCTATTATCTCAGGCAGGGCTGGCTCCAGCTTATTTTGCACCCCAGGCGAGGATCCCTTATGCCCCCCCCCCCGTGTGCCCACCAATTTTCAAAAATAAATGCATTTTAGGAAGAATGAAAAACACAAATAATCAAGAAACTCCCAGAGTACGGGGCCGGGTGCAGTTTGGTGCCCCTAAGGGCCGTCCCACTCTAGGCGATCGCCTAGTTCGCCTAGTGAGTGAGCCGGCCCTGATCTCAGGACAAACCCCAAACCGTTTGGGTAACTTGCATTTCTTCTGAATATTTACCTGCATTGAACAAACTAAATATTACTGGTACCATTAGGGTAGACTGCTCTCTTGAGTTTGCCAAGCAACCTGGGTGATTTTATTTTTTTGATGCCACTTCAGACCTCAAAAGACAAAGTCACCAAGTGCACGCCAGCAGCTTCCTGTGTGCAGTCAGCCATCACGGTTTGCAATTTATAGCAGCTTCTACATGACCAGGGCTTTTGTGCTGGAACGGAGTTCCAGAACCTCTTCAACAAAATTCTTTTTAAAACGTTTAAAAGTTCATGAGTTTTCAGGATACAGACTGAAAACTTCATTTCCCTTTTGAGAGCTCCGGCACCTCTTTTTAAAAAACAACAACACCAAAACACGTACATGACAATCACTTAGTGTGCACTGGCCTTGATCGGATGTCTTGCTTTGTTACAGCATTCAAGAAAGGATGTTCATGTGCTCCAGTTCTGCTGGGGCACAGAATTCAGTATCAGGGGTGGGGAGCGGGTCTGTAGCCTTTATGGTTGTGAAGTTATGCTTGACCCTATCTAACCAATTTCTGCCTAAAATACAGGAGCCAGAATGGCAGGCTGAATATGCTTCTCCATTGATGGGGGCTGGGCTTCAGTGCTCTACAGAATTCCTTATCACCCCTGATGGGAAGCGAAATCAGAATCATGTGCTCTGTTTGCATCAGAATTTGACTTTGGCACAGAAGTATCATTTGGGTGAAAACTTTAAATTTGTCCCCAGTGCAAATTACACAGAATCCAAGTCACCACTCCGTACTGAAAATAACCTTCAGCGATTTTTAGTGTCCTGTAATCTTTAGCATTTTTGGAGAGAAATGGAATGATGCTATGGGACAGGAGAAGTAAAGCTGCTGAAGGGAAGTTGGTTCTTTTCCCAGGAAGCTGCGGTGGCTCAAGTGGTTAAGACGCTGAACTGCAGGCTGTGGAAGGTCAGTAGTTCAGCAGTTTGAGACCCGGGTGCTGCAAGACGGAGTGAGCTCCCGTCTCTAGCTCCAGCTCCTGCCAACCTAGCAGTTCGAAAGCAAGAAATTGCAAGTAGATAAATAGGGACCACTTCGGTGGGAAGGTAACAGCGTTCCGTGCGCCTTGGTGTTTAGTCATGCTGGCCACATGACCACGGAAACGTCTTCGGACAGCGCTGGCTCTTCGGCTTGGAAATGGATATGAGCACCGCATCCCTATAGTCGGATTCGACTGGCTTTCGAGCAAGGGAACCTTTACCTTTTTACTTGAAAGGAAAGAGATACGTTATGCAGTGTATGTACTGATCAGTGGAGGCAACAAAAGACACCAGCGCAAAGCAGAACAGACTGCTGGCATTCCAAAGAACGTTATGCAATGTATGTACTGATCAGTGTTTCCAAGGAGGCAACAAAAGACACCAGCACAAAAGCAGAACAGACTGCTGGCATTCCAAAGCCGGACGCCTATTTTGTTTAGTGCGACAAAAATCAAGTTAGAATCGCCTTGGGATTAATTCGGGAGTGAATAGGCAGGAAAGCACAAACTATGAATTATCCATCACAGTGATTAAAGCCCCGCATGCTTTTTAGGATGGAGTCAGGGCGTGTCTGGGCATGGGCCCTGCTGATTAACCAAGCAGTTAGTAGTCATTAGAAGAGCAGGTCAATAGCAGGTGCTAGTACAGCTGTCGTACACAGTGGCACTCTAAGTGTTACAATGGGAATGGAACAACCACACAGCACAATGTCTACCTCTTCCTCCTGAGTGTCATTAGGTAGCAGACTGTCTACATCTTGGCCAATACAGTGTGGGCTACAGCGGCTCTTTCTTCTGATTGAGCCACGGGACCCGTCCGTGATGCTCTGAATCTGGGACAGGAAGGGTCACCGGGTGCCACCAGCATACAGAAAAAGGAGACCATTACTCGTGTTAGCTCATAAAAACACAATGCCAGCAAATTAAAACAAGAAGAACAACTCTGCATCCATCCCATCACGTTTGCTTTCTGCCCTTTGACTGCTTCTCACAAGACGTGATAAAACTGGAACGACCGTCTCCAACCTCAGTCCCACGACTCTGCAGGCCTGTCAAAGGCTTGATGGTTTCTCCCAAAGAGAAGGAAAACTATTTACTGTTCCTCAACTGGAGGTAGTGTGTTTGATATCTAACTAATGTTTTGGTACGAGGAATTCTGAATGCACGTTGGGGTTCTCCTTCAAAAAGGACACTTCTTGTTTCAAAACAAGAGTTTTTGTAGATCCAGTCAATTCACATGAGAAATGCATTCTACAGAGAAGGCTCACGACAAAATGTACTGGAAATATTTCATGCCAGATAGCAAAGTTAAGGTCCAGCAATAACAACAACAACAAAACATCTGGTTAGACTTTCTGAGGAAAAAATGCAGCCCAGTGACACAGAACTCCAGAATCAGCCGTGTGTGGAAGGAAAGAAGCAAGGCCTTTGGAAAACAGTTGTGCGGACTTGCTCTCAGTGTGGCGACCAAAAGATTATGGCTCAGTTTCTTTTTGCTGCACGGAGAGGAACCAGCAAACAAAACATGTATTTTTCAGCCCTGATAATTGGGCTGCTCTCAGTGTTTCAGCACAAGAAGCTGACTTATAAATATATTAAAACACAAATCCTCTTGTCCTTAGGAAAACATAGATCTACAAAATTTGCACTAAGATCCAGAAAATTTGCAAAGTGACTC